TGAATCGTCCCATAGAATTGAGTCCTATATAGGATGGTTGTGAATCGTCCCATAAAATTGAGTCCTATAGGATGGTTATGAATCGTCCCGTAGGATTGAGTCTTATAGGATGGTTATTAATCGTCCCATAGAATTGTAGTCCTATAGGATGGTTGTGAATCGTCCCAAGGATTGAGTCTTATAGGATGGTTGTGAATCGTCCCATAGAATTGTAGTCCTATAGGATGGTTGTGAATCGTCCCATAGAATTGTAGTCCTATAGGATGGTTGTGAATCGTCCCATAGAATTGAGTCCTATATAGGATGGTTGTGAATCGTCCCATAAAATTGAGTCCTATAGGATGGTTGTGAATCGTCCCATAGAATTGAGTCCTATACTAACGGTTCTTATTATTATATATGTATTATATCGATAAAAATCTTTTAATTATTGCACAACTATTGCACAACTATAATAACATGTATGACTTATAATACATACTCTCGGGTGGAGGTTTTGTCCGACTTATCGAGAGATTCGTCTTATCGAATTTCATAATTTTTTAAATACTTCTTTTTTTATTTAAATATAAACAACAACAATAATAATGTAAGCTACTTTAGAGAAGCATTTCGCTTTCTTCCAATTTGAATGCTTTAGGTCATTCGTTTATCTCGAGATTAATAATCTATTTTAATATCAGAATTTTGTTGTGAATAACGAACATATTTTAAATGTTATCCAAATCAGCCGTGTTAAGCCAAATCCGGCTTGTCGAGTGTTCGACTTATCGAGAGTGCTTATGTATATGGAAATTATGACAAGAAAGATGCTCTCTTTATAACGAGCTTTGAGTTGTACACAGTGAACCTGGATACGACGAAATTTGATTATAACTGTTGTATGTCAATTCCGAATATATGTCAATTCCGAACTGACATATGTCAGATCAGAATCTATATCACTTCCGAACTGACATATGTCAGATCAGAATTTATATCAGTTCCGAACTGATATATGTCAGATCAGAATTTATGTCACTTCCGAACTGACATATGTAAGA